AAGATATGTATACAGAAGTATAGGACACGTTATACGCGAGTGATGAGGACATGACATTTTAAAACGTAAAATTATCACTTTGTCGTGAAACAATGTGCACCACCCTCTCACTCGTTTATTTGGTACATATACACATGGATATAGGTATATGCGCATATACTTGCGTGTGTGCGTCCGCGTGTGAGAGAGAGTATTTCTGCAGAAAAGTAAAGATACAATGTCGTTAACATTACAAATATTACAATATTATTTGATTAGATTGAATATACCGTACGTAAGGACAAAATCAAATCAACGGTCAGGGGAGAAGGAGGACGTTTGCAATCTGCTGGAGAACAAATCGAGTGACGTTGAAATGGGTTTGACATTATTCGCATTGCTAAAGCAATGTTCCGTTAATAAGGTGTATATATATATATATAAGTTGTATACTCGTATACCTACGGTTATTATATTAATTATTCTAATTGGTAATGTCGCGCGCGCGATTCGCAGACACGGGTCCCGCGCTGTATAATATCGTTATATTTTTATTATAATATTATCGCAAGCGCTACTATTTAATATCATACTTACCTGCGTACGTGTGCAGCGGGTATACCGAGGTGTGACGCGTGAGGCACATAAATCGTATATACGGTTATCGTTTTCGTAGGGAACGCAGGGTGTGCTTGGGAAATAAATCGATTAACGTGAACAAGCGAAAATTACAAATGAACGTATTAGCCGGCCGTCTCAAGGGGAAAGCGCTAATGGCCACGGACAAAGGCAAGTCCTGCATGGGATTCACGGTTAGACTGTATAAAGTGCAGCTCATGAAAGATTTTTTGCCGCCCGTCGGTCGCATGGGCATGGACATAAACGGTTGACAATATATTGTCAATATACTGCCTATAATGTTTATAAAATATTTATGTAAATTGCACTGCGCCCGAAGCTTGTTTTTAAATTTCGAAATTTTATATTGTAATTTATCATTATGCATCATCAATTACTCTCACCTTCAATGTATATTATTTCATTACTGTTATTATTTTCAATCTAGAGATTGGCTAACAACAAACTCGTTTACAACAAACTATCTATCCACGTTTCCCTGTATTTTTCCATATAATATTTTAGACTGGTGATTGCCAGTGAGGTCCTATCTACATGAAGCTCCTCTTACTTTTTTTTTTTTTTTGGTCACTATAATATTGTAAGACTCAAAAGAGTCAAGAGTACGAACTAAGATATCACGTAAATAATAGGTAGCTTTGATATTTTGTTATATTATGCCACTATTTAGTAGGTATGATGTTAACTAACGCCTAACATTTCATTAAAATATTTATATTTATACTGTATAGAACATTGCAAATGATAAAGTATAGTAAACATTCTGTTTAATGAAACCTCGATGGATGAGACGAATATTGCGTTTGATAATAAACAAAGGTATCGTGTGAGTGTCGTTCAAGTTATATTTGATATAACATCTATTTAAATTAATTATAGGCTTAATGGCTCAAATTACATTATGCAAGATGCAACATACTTGAATCCAATGCGATTTAAAAGTATAGAGAAAGGTACAACTATTTTTCCACCAGAAGCATTATAATCTTTAACAAAAGTCAGTTGTATTGAATGTGAGAGTTTGATTAATCAGTTAAAATTATTTGCTTCAACATATCGCAATATTTCAAATAACACACTTACTAAAATAGATTCCGATTCTGATTTTGAAACTGGTAATGATGAAACAACAATACAATGTGACGTTAGTCATAACTCAAAAACGTTTACTTTAAATTTTTTGAAATATTTTAATTTACATAGCAGTTTCTATTAAAATTTGTACATAGCTTATAAAACATTATTAACTTCGTCTTTCATCCAAGTTGAAGTGAAAAGAAAAAGAAGTGAACGTTCTTTCTTGAAGCTTAAAATTATTAAAACTCGACTACGATCTCTTATTGGCCAAGACTTATTGGAATCTTTTATCTTACTGAATTCTGAGGTCAATATTATTTCCTAGTGGAATCATAAAGATATTATTGACAAATTTGCAAATACATCAGGTGAAATGAAACAGTTGTCGTTTTAAAATATTAAAATTAAACTCTTAAGAATCGTTAAATTATTATTTGTCATTTGTAATTTATCAAGTAGGTTTGTAGGAATATATTATTCTTTTAATATTATGTAAAATATACTAGTATATAGAACTGTTTTGTTAATTTTCATTGGTGCGACTGTGGTTAAAATTTGAGGGGCTAACATATTTATTTATTCGATTTAGCCCTCTTTTAAGGTCATTGACCTAATGCTATTTTTAAAAAATATGGGGCCCAAGTCCCCCTTAATTGCACTTATGTTAGTATTAGTGTCAATATTATATAATTTTAATAACTAATAGTTTAGTTGTTTATGGTAAATAATATATCTGCTAATGATAACCGGTAAAACTTATACTTTTGATTTTAACTATTAAGTTATTTTTTCAATACTGTTTTATTTCAGTTTATTTTGTTGTATTGTATTCATTTAGTTTAATAGTACAATTAATATTCACAATAATTGTTGTATAATTCTCATTGAGAACCATACCTATTTTATTATCAATTGTTATTTATTACTATTGTAATATAAACTATATTGTATACCGGACACCGTTGGATTATTAGTAATAATTAATAATAAATAAATAAATATAATTTATAACTAATATACTGTAATGTACTGTACATCATAATTTGCTACAGCAAAAAGCAATACGTGTAAACTAAAATATGTTTTTATTGCAATGAGAACACATGAGCGTAATTTGGGAAGAGCAGGGTATGCGTCGAAATAGTACACGCATTCGCATACATTAGAATCCGTAAATATCCGCTGATTAAATTTTTAAAATAATAAAGCAATGTTTTGTATGAATAGTAATGTTCAATTTTGAAATTAAAGTGAATTTCTTTACACCACATTTGCTTTTTTTCTCCAAATACTACTGAAATGGCTTCAGTTATGGTAATTGCTTAAAAGGTTTTAATATGTTGAATTGCTGTTTGAAAATTACAATGTAATTATAATTAGGATTATAATAGAGAAGGAAATAATATTTACATATATTTATATAACACAAAAATATTCATATTTTTTTTAACGGCCCTGGTTAAATGTTAAAATTGGCTTACCTAAAATCTCGCACACTCGTAAAATCTGAAATTATGCGTGATAATATATTATTTTTTGTTTGATGAATCATATATTTTTATTTCTTCCAATTCCTTTAAAACTAATGAAACATATAATAATACATTGGCTATTCGGATTTGGCAATGTAGATGTTGATTTTACATTTAAAGTCTTACGTTTATATGGATAATAGTTAGTGGGTTTCATTGCATTGTTTACTATATAAAAAAAACTATTCCTATTGAAGAAGTACATATTACAAATTAGCTTTGAATATTATTAAATAAATATGCCAAGTAAAAAAGTACATTTTTTTGGTGACTTGATTTCAGAAGTGTATTTTTGTATTTTTAATAACATTCATCAGCGAACCATTTTATATCAAAACTAAGCTTGTGAAGTGAGAATCGTGTTTATTAAAAAAACTGTATCTAGTGTTAGGAATCTCTATACTGAGCACACCACTTCTCTTTTCATGTAATCGGTGTATGTTACTTAAAAAATATGTCATATTCATATTCGTCGTTTTCGAGTAACCTCGCTATACACATATATATTGGCCTTTATGAAGATATCTTATTCACTACACAAACGAATAAAATGTACTATTTCTTTAACAACGATTCGGTTGTCATAGTAAATTCATGATAAAATCGTAATCAGAATCATAGTGTCAATCTATTCTGCTTTCAATAAAATATATGAGCAAAATATACTAGGATTTTGGTTAAAATTTTTTCATGATGAACCAAATCGTTGTTAGAGAAGCAGTGCTTTCAATTCGTTTGTATTTTTCACTCGACGAGTGTGACCGTCCAGCGTGACGTTTAAGACAAAATTTACCAATCTCCGTAGTTGGAAAGCAATAATAAGCCATATCTGGTTTATCAGCTAAAATGACGGTCAAAATCCTATTAAAAATATCAACAATTTTTTTATTTTTTGTATTTATTTTTGTTAACTTCTAGTGTAACTATAACAGCTCAACAATTATTCAATATATATAGATAGGTACATAAGATAAATGTAATACATTAAAAATAATAATAGTAAACAAAATATTTTGAGAGGGTTTTAAATTTTCATTTCTCTCTCCTACTTTATTACTAAATTTTTAATTTTAATAAGTCCATTAAACATAAGTTAAAATATAAAATCTTTATGATTTAGTTTGTTGAAACTATGAAAATGTTTGACGATGATATGATATGACATTATACCTATGTCTTAAAATTATTGTATACCTATCTTACAAAATAAGAAACATTTGGGGAGGGAAGTTGATATACCCAGTTAAACCTCTCCACTCGGCTATGCGGCTATATATATATATATATATAATGGATGCTATAATTTTATCAGATTTATAGAATAATTAAAAGTATTGAAAAATATCTATAACTTACAAATGCAGCGAAGGTCTGGTAAGTATAAGTAATCCATTTTATATTAGAATATTTATTATTTATCATTTATCAAATGTGTGAAAGAATAAAACAGCCTGTACGTCTTTATGTCTTTAAAGGAACGGAAAAAAAATTGTAAGAACGATTGATTTTTGTTTTATTTTTTTGTAAAATAAAATGTGATTGTATTGCCAAAATCTATTTTAATTTACCTTTATTTGATATAATCAAGAATATAGTGTAAAATGTAGTAGGTAATATTGTTATGTGGTAATATAGGTTTCTACCATCACCTTACAACGGTTACTCTGTATCTACCAGCGATTTAACCTTGAATTATTATTGCACCTGTTTCGAACTCGTGTTGGAACCACCTGAGCAGGTTTATTATGTTGTTGTGTTGTTGCCTTGACAGCGTGCTGTGAGGAACTGTTATCATACGGTCAAGTCTATAGTCTATAAGTATTATCAAAATTCAATACATTCGTCACTTATTGGTAATTTAGTTCAACGATTTTACCCGATTTTCGAATAATTAATTATGTAATTGTTTTTTATTATCAGTAATATTAATCTTGAAAATATTAGTTATCATCAATATCATGACCGTAAGTAAGATTTATAAATAGTTATTTTATGTACATATAACCCAGGCGCAAACTATTTGGAATTGTGGGATGGTAAAAAGTATTCAATAATCACCTATGAAAACAAAAATTGCACATTATAAATAATTATTATCTGAAAATTTACCATCGAGTATCGATCAATTGCCCACTCACCTACCAAATCAAGCCCCCCCCCCCGGCAATTGTTTCTCCTTCATCCCTAGATTTGTGTCTCTGCACATAACACATTAAATATATTATTTATAAATTGCATTCAGCATAGGCGTTGTACAACGCATTTTCAAAGTATATTATACATACAGTACCGTGTTTAGACATTTTGCGCCCCGGCGCAAAATAAAAATTGGCGCCCCTCTAAGGGGCCTGCCCACGGAAAATGTAGGAAATAGATTCTCATGTACCTTTTAGATATTCTAAAATCAATGCTATTTTTGTGTAGTAGGCATGCCACCGCACACCGCACGCGATACCATAATACACCGTATTATTATAAATAACTTATGTTTATTGAAATTATCACAACAAATTTGGGAACTAATATTTATTTATTTATTTATTTATTTATATATTAATTTATGGTGTATATCAACGGGTATCCACCCTTTTACAAATTATATAAAGAAAGCATATCAGACTATAAACTAATTAAGTGTAGTAAAAACAAAAAAAACGAAAATAACTAAAATAATAATAGAATAAAATAGGTAAGAACACTGAAATCAAAAATAATTAGTAAATAAATAGTTCTGACTAATGAATAATAAGTACATATTAATATGGTTAAAATATAAACATTCTTTTTTATTATTTTATTATTTTTTTATTTTTTTATTTTTATCATAATCAATATTTTCTAATAATAACATAGATTTAATTTTAAAACAATTGCAAGACAGAAGAAATATGTCTAAATACATACAAATTTTATTAGCTAAAATTAAAGCTCTATGTAGAAAATAATTGGTACTACTATTCGTTTTAAAGTGAGGAACAAAAAATAAATCGGAATTACGTGTAATCAGATATGGAATTCGAAAACCAATTTCAGACAATAACTAGGCTCACACAATATTATAATTAATAAGATCATAGACAAACTAAGTGAAAGAAGAACAAGGCCAATATAAACTTGAGTTAGATGGAGAGAGTCCCTAGATAATGGAATATTTGATAAATATGAAATCCTTTTTAAAAATGTATATTGAACATTATCCAAATCATTTATGTATGTCAAGTATTTGCAGGACCAAATTACGGAACTAAAATCTAGATTGGATCTAATTAAAGATGTATATAACGTTTTTAAGCATAACGGATTTCTAAAATCTTTGGTATTTCTATTAATAAAGCCTAACATCTTAAACGATTTATTAATTATCATATTATGATTTATTTTAAAAGAAAGATCACTTTCAAAATAGATGCCAAGATCTTTTGATTGAATTTACTCTAGTGAGAGGGCAATGTTCATTATCATAGTTAAAAATAATTGGATTTTTGTTATGTGCAAATTATATCATATGACATATATCAATATTCAACGGTAATAAATTTAATTTATTCCATAAATGAAATTTATTAATATTCAACTGAAGAAATTTAGCATCATTTAAAGAATTAACTGTACAGAAAGTTTTTGCATCATCTGCAAATAATAATTTTTTTTTAGAACTACCTAGAACTAGGGAGATCATTAATAAATATTAAAAATAGTTACGGACCTAAATGGCTGCCCTGAGGAACATCTGATAAGGCAGGATATTCATCAGAAACGTGAGACATAATTTTAACTACTTGAGTATGATTGGAAATATAAGAAAATAATCATTTTAAAAAGTTCCCACCTATACCATGATTTTTTAATTTATAATATAGTAAGTTATGGTTCATCTTATCAAAAGCCTTTTGAAAATCTGTGTTAATAGCATCTACTTGAAAATCTTTATCAAGAGCTTTTACATGGGACCCTATAAAAATATATGTAAATATTTGTGAATGTTCAGGCCGATGTTGCACTTGAGTTTTGGAATTAGCCGACTGCGTTGGTTAAGCTCTCGGCGCGCCGCAGGTATACGTTTCACGGTGGAATGTGTGCACACAAAATGTTGTAGGCGTATCATGTTTAAAATGAGCACAGTTCAATTTCGGGAATGATAGGCTACGTTCAGGTGGTGACTGTTCGATTCGATTTTTTCACGTATAGAATTTAATTGAATACGAGATACCAATTCACACAGGCACAATATTCGATTCGATTTTTTCACGTACGTGTTTTGATGCATGGACATATCACTGTCGGCAGTCAATACACAATTTTTATCATAGATTCACGTGTTCCACTCATTTTTTATTGGTACAGAAATGTTTATAAGAAACGATTGGTACATCCTCTTTTAGAGAATGGTCCATGACGTGAAAAAACGTTTTGAAAAATTTTACTTAAACCTGACTGAGAACAGAAATTTTATAATTATTTTCGTATGTCAATGGTTAATTTTGACAATCTATTATCAAGACTAGAAAAAGATTCTACTATGTTGAAATACTATCGTCTTCCATTTTAAAGAACTTAATAATAATAATAATATGCGTCGAACATACGACTGAATGGATGAACGTAATGAACGAATTCGATGACATTTTGTTTGTGTGAACGATACAATAAAAAGACAAGCGCTACTTAATCACATTTACGATAAAATACATTCGAGATTTATCGAGTCGTAGTGACAAGTTCGTACGATATACGGAAAAAAATATTTCGCGAATACGGAATTTTCTCGCGTGGGCTTTGTGTGAACGTACAAATATAACATTCGCTGCCACTGCTCTTTTCGATAAAATCCCATATACGGTATACGAGAAAAATATCGTCGTCTGAACGTAGCATACAGTGCAAAGTTTCAACGTTCATTCATTCCGAGTGGCTTGGCAACGCGATACACGTAAGCCATAGCTTGTATAGGTATAAAGTTTCCGGTTTGTAGTTTATTGTGCTGCGTGTGGGCCAAAGAAGGCGGACAACAAATCCGCACACTTCACCGACCACACGTGCTCATATTTTTCAAATTTTCTACGTGGAAAATAAATGCTATGAATGATTTCGTTATTGTCTTTGCAGTATTTTTTGTTGGTCAGTAACAAAGACGAAACAACACTAAAGGAATATTATACTTCTTATCCGTTTCACTTCAATTTATTTCTTTTGTTGGATTTAATATTTTTTTCGTTTAAATATTTTTTACTGATAAATGCTTTTTAAAGTTTTGTTATTGTCCTTTGATTTTATTATCCTAATTTTATAAAATTCTAAACATAGTGCGACTATCAGGGGCGGATCCAAGGTTGGGGAACTGTGGGTCAAACCATTTCAAGAGGCCATTTATTAGGGATGAAACTGAATTTGAAATGAATACCTTGTGAAAAAAAAAACACAATATGCTCATAAAAGTGAATAAGTATATTTATAATAAATTTTAGAATTAGTGATATCATCGATTATGACATATTTACGATTAATAAATATAATCTAATTTTATCAGTGCAACAAACGTACGGAATAAAATATGATTTACTTAACTATCTACTAAAATGATATAATTTAAAATATAAATTATGAATTGAAAAATTTTAAATTTTGAATATACATGGCATTCATTTTTCAAGTAACTCCGATGGGTCAACTATCCAAGAGTCCAAATTAAGGTGTAAAAAGAGAAAAAAATTTCCAAGAGGCCAATTTTGTCAACAAATATTAACTGTGAGTCAGCTGACCCCCTGAACCCTCCCTAGATCCGCCCCTGGTGCCTATAATAAAATACAAAACACTATAATTGAAATTGTTTGTCGTTACGATTATAGTCGCAAATAAAAAAATAGGGTTTGTTTGATTTTAAAATCTGTCTTGTAAGTTCAACGAATTTGTTGTACCAACACAGATTAACTTCGAATATTTAATAATTAATTGAACGTGAAAAAAAAGAATGAAGAACTTAATTTTTACTTGCAATATGCATTTATAGTTTTATTGTACTAAAAAAAGGTAAAATTGAATTTTACATAGTAATCTTAAATGAGCTGATTTATGTATCGATTTAATATTTACGATGTACTTGTTATTTTCAGGGAAAATTGATGTAATACGTTAGTAAATTTGTTAGAGTTTATTAATTTTAGCTTTAAATTGATCGTGCAATGTACCTTAATCATTCAATTGTATATATTTTAATTACATTTTAATTTTATTTTTAACAGACAGAACGAACAAAATCTAAAATCGGACGATGGGTTGATGAAACTATGAAGTAAGTGAATTTAGTAAATTTCCTTTTATATAATAATTTAACAAAATGTTAAAATTCCATAATTCATACTTCTAAAGTTCTAACTATTATTTATTACTAGTAAATTAATAATTTATGTATTTATTATTTTCGTTAAAAAAAGGGTAAGTTCAATAACTGGATATTATTATAAATAAATAATAATAAATATATAGCTGTTAATTGTGTTCAAACGCCATTTTATGAAAATAATAAACATTTTTAACTTGACGAAGAATTATTAATTAAAATAATTTAATGTATTTAAGGGATTTTCTTTGTCAGTTAGTTAGTCAGTTAGTGCTTAAATTATACTTAAGGATGAAGGAAGGGAAAAAATAAGAAAGCTGATTACAGATTGGAGATTAATAAGAATAGTTGATATTATTTCTGATATTTTTTGCAATGGAGGTATATTTAATACCTCGTTTAGACATAATGATTTAGGAGTAATAACTATTATAATTAAAAAATTGTTAGTTTTTTTAGGCTTCTGGGGGAAACGGGAATCGAACCTTTTTCGTTTTTGATGGAAAAAGGCTATGGCGGAAACGGCCAATATTATTTTGGCGAAAACAGGTAACTTCCTCTTTTAGATTCCAAAAATAAAATGGTTTTATTTTGCATAGGTTACATTATATATATATTTATCAAAAAAAAGTATTATTTGGGAGTATCTTTTCCTGTATACATCAGCGGTTCTCAATATTTTTTTGAAGCTACGACCCTCTATTATGTCAACAAGATTTTGAGCGACCCTTTAATTATGATAACATTAAAAAGTAGTAATAAATCAATATGATTAATATTTTGTTTTTATTGGCAGCTTGAAACTTAAATCAATTGTAATTCTAAACAATGATAATCATGATGATTTACAGAAAAACACCTTACTAGTTATTTTATACATTGACGACCCTAAGAAATTCTTGGCGACCCCAGTTTGAGAATCGCTGGTTAAACCATAATTGGAATTAATAATTATTATCTTCAAAATAAAGTGATGATATTAAAATAAACACACTTCCTGTTTGTATTATTATGGAAAACGATGCGTAAGCGAAACGTTCCGTTAATCGAAGATAATAGCTCAGTGATTGTAATTTTCGATTTTATAAAAGTATCACTGTTTTCTATACTACATTTTATTACGTTGATTGGCAGCAATATATTGTAAAATAACTGTTCATTTACTACTATAATATTATTATTATAATACATTTTTATTGAGTATATCGGGACGATGATATATTATAGGATATTTACTAGATAAGAAGTATTCCGATAATAGGAACCGGAATCGAACCGGAACAGTTATTTAATTTTCTGAAAACCGGTACCAGAACCAGTAATAATAAATTCAAATATTCCAATTTCTGTTCTTAAAATCTTTATCAGTATTTAATTATATAATAATCTATTTGATTGGATTAACGAACTTAGAATTTATTTTCAAGAAGAGGTTAGATTAAGTTTATGAGAGTAAATTTAAGCTTTAAGTAAATTGCTTCGCTGTCTATGTTTGGGGATGTTAGTGCAAACATTTGAATATCATGTAGATCAGGGGTGTCTAACCTGCGGCTCGCGGTAGATTTTGATGCGGCCCTCACTTCAATTTAAAAACCACAAATTAATTGTGTATTATATATTAATATTACGAGAATAAAAATTTATTTGTTGGACGATGCACACGTCAGATATTCAGCTCAAAGAAAAATGTAATCAGTCATCTTTATTAAATTTTATAAATTATATCTACCCAAAGAAACATATCCAGTGTTTTATGATCATGCCTTATTCATGTTCTCGCTCTTCGACAGTACATACATTTGTGAACAATTGTGTTCAAGAATGAAAAACACAAGAGTTAGAATCGGTCCACTATATCAGACAAGCATCTTGAAAGTGTTTAAGGATTTCCATAACTTCAATCGATCCGGATATTGATTCGTTACTTTCACAAAAAAAGCAACTGCAAATTTCCCATTAGTTTTATTATATTTTTTTAATATAAATAAATATATTTTTCTGTGTAATTATAATTAAATATTAATACTTGTAAAAATATTTCGGCTTATTATTCGCTATTGTAAAATTATAAGAAAATGTATTGTTGTATTATAGAATATAATTTAACCATTAAATTTGAATGTATTAATATTAAAAACAAGTATGTGGCTCACAACAACTTCTACCGATATGATGTGGCCCAGTCTTCACAAAAGGTTGGACACCCCTGATGTAGATTATTCATTACCGCAAATGTAACCAAAATAACATTGTACATTTTCTATGAATGGTTAACTGTTTTATTAAGTGATGTAATTATTATGATGAAGAAAGAGACATGTTAGTAATTGTAAATGAATGCAAGTATGTTTATTGAAATTATAAAAACTTATTGACGTGAATCAAAAAAAAAAAAATGTTTTTATTCTATCAAATATTTCTGGTTGTTCTACTCTCGTAGTTCTATGCTAAAAAAACCCTTATAAATACATAACATAATATGATCTTCGTTAGTAGACCTTTCAAGCATGGGCGTCCACAACATTTTTTTAAGGGGGTGGGGGCAAAATTAATTTAAAAAATAAATGAAGATTTTTTTATACATTTTATAATTACATTTTATTCTAGTATATTATTATTACAATTAAGTATTATTATTATATATTTTATTTATAGTACATTATTATGTTTCGTAATTATTACATTAAATTATTACAATTAGGTATTATTATTATACATTTTATTTATTCAATATTGTTTTTTATCAAATATAAGATTAGATTCGATAAGATAAAATAATCCAATTATTATTAAAGGAAGTTTTCTTCTATATATAATATATACGTTAAATTAAAGTAATCTATGTTTAATAAATTGACGTTTTACAGATAATGCTTTGGAAAACATATTTAAAATTCTAGGAGGGGGGCAAGTGCCCCATATTGCCCCCCCTGGAGACGCCCATGCTTTCAGGGTCACAACAAATGAGTAGAAATAATTGTTATAATAATGAGCTACATAATATTATATATTGTGCAAATAATTCTAGAGTCTAGATTAGATATACATTTTTAATATTAAATTTTATTTAATGATTGCCATGGTGAATACTATTATATATCTTCATAATTTTATACACTCTGTCTTAATATAAGTGATCAGTGGGTTAAAAATTAATGTAGGAGACTAGCAACCACTCTAAAACCGTGTGCAACTTTGTTCTACATGATTTTATTCAAATATACATTATTTCATATTGTATCATGATATATGGGTTGAATTATTTGCTTAACGTTAAAAATATAATATACTATACTATTTTATTTTTATTATTGTTATTCCAAAAAATCAAAGAAAATTCTACAGACAATATCAGTTGGTATCAGTGGCGCAACCAAGATTTATTTTCGGGAGGAGGCTATAAATTTGAAAAAATGCAATTTTGTAAGGTGTTGTGTAGAGAGAATGGGATAAGGTTAAGTTAACCGTATCCGTAAACTACGTATTCCGGAGGAGGTGATTGCACCTTCATCCCAAGTTGCACCACTGGTTGGTATTGCTTTTTATCTTAGTGTTTTATTTTTTATAATGATACTATGTTAAAATATCATTAAATAAAGCTTATATAGTTAAAATAATAACGACCAAGGAAATCAAATAATTTACTTTTAAATGTTTTTGTCATTCGGTGTCCCGCACTTGTAATGTGTGCACGCGTAATTTTCGCTCCTTTTATTATTATATTTATCTATATACTAAAACTGTGAAGGTTAAATTAAATTTTAAACGTGTTGATTCCAAAAAAAAAAAAAAAATTGTTCTTATAATAATAACCAAGCACTCCCTCTCTCCAGGGGTTTCCCTTTAACAGGGGAATCAAGCATATCGTGAGTATAACGTCATTATATAATGCCTTCCACAAATTCTCGAAATTACCCGTCATCGAACAAAATTACTTAAACTAAACATAAAGACGAACTTTGCCTAAACAGATTAGATACTGGCCATAATACAAATGCTAGATTACGTGCAATTAAAATTACAAAATAAAAAAAATTATCAGTAGATACTGGCATGGGTTCAAGTCATGCCGACTCTGTAGATATCGATAATTGGTAATTGGTAACTTCACTTACTAAGCATGTAATCTCTCCAGGAACGTTACCAAATCCAAAATTATTGAACAATCAAAAGATATTTTCTACTCCAAATCGTTACAGTTTTTTAAGTGTCGAAAATAACATAAGAAATACAAATAATACTGATACAGAAATGGAAAACGATGATATTAGTATCAGAGCACCTCCATCCATTATTAAATCAAATATAAATAATTACCAACAATTCTGCGAAGCCATTAAAAACCCTAAATACCCCACCTATGGAATTCTCATGCAAAACTACGTTAAACAGCCTAAAACTTGTTACATCAAACTTAAACTCATATAGAACGGTAATTAGATACATCAAAAAAGAAAATGTTAACTTTTATACATATCAAATACATGAGGACAAACCTTACCGTGTAGTTATAAGAAATCTTCACCCCTCTACTTCAATCGAGTTTATCAAAGAAGAATTAGGGAACTGCGTTTTTTTAGCTCGGAACAATACTAATGTTCCTCATTATCAATCAAAAACTCCCTTACCACTATTTTTTGTAGACCTTGAACTAGCTATCAATAACAAGGACAACTTTGAATTAAAATTCCTCTGCTTTACAAATATTAAGTAGAAGCTTCTAAAATAAAAGAAACAAATCCCACAATGTATGAATTGCCTAGACTACGGTCATACGTGCCATTACTGCAATAATATACTTTGTTGCGTCCGTTGTGGCGATCAGCATACCTCAGACATCTGTACAAAAAGCAAGGACCTTCTAGCGAAATGTGCATTTTGTTTTGGTGACCATTCAGCGAATTATAGAGGTTGCCCTTCTCACAAGAACATCCAAAATCTTTGAAACCACACTCAGAAAAAAATGTACTATTTTTGAGGAAAAATGGCTATAGTTTTAATGAAAAACAGGTATGATTTCGAGCCTATGAAGTTTATTCATAAAAATGTGAATATTTATTTAATTGAAAGATGAAAATTGTTTTTAATTAATACTATACCAAGTATAATGAAATGTATTACATTTTTACTTAAATTAATGATATTGCATCTACTATTTAAGTAAAACGAATAATATATTTAAGTAAAACATTGTTAAATTAAAGACCAATACTTCTTATTAAATAAGAAAACTTATTACATCTTTACTTAAAGGTATGATATTTTATCTACCATTTAAGTAAAATGAATAATAAATATAAGAAAAACATTGTTAATTTAAAGACTTCTTTTTCTTATGAAATAAGATAATTCTGTTTAAAATTGATTGCGCGCCATTCTTTTCAAGCAAAGAAAAATCATTTCAACAATAATATCAGATATCAAGAAAATAATAATGTACAATTCTTGCTCAGTCATAACATTACCTCAGAAAATCAAAAAACACCCACTCCAAACCTATCTTACACTCAAGTGGCTCAAAAAAAAAAAAAATAATACAAATACGTTAAAAAATCAACCCCACTTAGATACTACTTCTTAACTAATTGCTCAACTTACATCATTTATAAACGAACTAAAATCACTAATTATTCCTCTCATATCACTACTTACAAAAGTAATCGATTAAGTCCTAGATAAAAAAATGACCTCAAATCCAATCAATCATTCCTCTTTATCAATATTCCTTTGGAATGCCAATGGATTAAAACAACATAGTACCTAATGAACTTTTCTATTTTATCCACAATAAAAACATAGATGTAGCCCTCATTACTGAAACGCACCTATCAAAATCTGTAAACATAAAATTCAATGGCTACTTAACTATTAGAACAGACCATCCTGATGGTACATCCCATGGAGGTTCTGCAATAATAATAAAATCCTTACTTTTTTATAATTAAATGTAAAATATCAGTAAACCGTACCTACAAGCGGTAAATTTGAAAATAAAAATAAATCATTTAAACGTTACAATCTCATCAGCTTATTTTCCTCCAGGCCAATAAATCACAGAACCCAAATTGCAATCATTTTCCAAAGTCTCGGTAGCTTTTTTATAATAGGTGGAGATTTTAATGCTAAACATACCCAGTATGGTAGTAGATACAATAATACAAGAGGTAGATTATTTTATACTTCAATACTAAAAAATAAATTATCTTTTATTTCCCCTGGTGAACTAACTTATTGGCCTACACATGAAAACAGATCCCCCGATATTCTCGATTTTTTCATAACCCAAATCCTAACTGGTTTAAAATACCACATAAATAACCTAAACCACCTATCAAGTGACCATTATCCCATACAGTTAACCTTAGGAGCCTTACCTGTTTCCGTCCCTGGACAGTCCCTTTCACTAGGCCCCATAGACTGAAAACTATTTCAGCAAAAATTAGACGATTCACTGTCTTTCATTTTTCCACTTAAGTGTCCTCTAGATATAGACAATGCAATCTCTATAATAACCAAGTCAATTCAAAATGCAGTATCAAGTTCTTCTTTCCATACCTCAAAAAATAACCAACCAAATTATTATATTTCACTTCCTCCATTATTAGTTAATCTTATAAAAGCAAAACGTCAAGCTAGATCATTATGGCAAAGAACAAAATATCCTATACACAAAACTATTTATAACCATCTCATAACTGATTTAAAAATTAAATTAGAAAAGTAGAGATCCGAACAGTTTAGTAAATATTTAACTACTCTGTGTCCCAACGATGGCTCCCTCTGAAAAACAACTAAAAGTCTAATCAATCATCGTGATAATATACCTCCACTTGAACGACCTGACAGATCATTTGCTATTTCTGACGTAGAGAAAGCAAATATTTTCAGTAATCATCAATTCTCTATTTTCTCTCCTCATCCTGATCTAAATGCTACACCAGATCACGCCAATCTAGTAAATTCATTTTTTTCCTTCCTTTAGTCCATGTTTTTTCCTGCAAAACCGATTTCCCAGCTGAAATTGTTTCAGTAATCCAAAAAAATCATCCGGTCATGACCAAATTACAAATAAAATAGCCAAAAACCTATCAAAAAAGTCAATCCTGTTTCTTACTCATATCTATAATGCTATGCTTCGTTATCTTATTTTCCTCCTGCATGGAAGTATTAAATTATCATTATGATCTCTAAATCAGATAAGCCTGAGCACCTCATCAGTTCTTATTGTCCTATTAGTTTACTACCCACTTTTGCAAAGCTCTTCGAAAAGTTAATACTACATAGAATTAAACCAACAATCGACCGATATAGCATATTACCAAAATCACAATTCGGTTTCCATCGCAAATACAACACAATACACCAAATTCATAGAATCACAGATAAAACAATCTCAGCTTCCTTTGAGATAAAGCAATTCTGACTCGGGGTATTTCTAGATATATCTCAAGCTTTTGACCGTATTCGACACGACGGGCTTCTGTTTAAACTAAAATACTTTCTCCCTTCGCCATATTACTTAATTATCAAGCAATATCTTGAAATTCGGTCTTTTTCCATTCGTCAGAAAAATAGTTATTCAACTGTTCATAATATTAAAGCTGGAGCTCCTCAGGGTAGTGACCTTTCACCTATACTCTATAATATCTTCACCGTTGATATACCTACAATAATCTAAACTCTTTTCGCCTTATTTGCTGATAAAATGTTTAGCAAATAAGTTTTATTTGTTGGTATAAACTAACACTGGTCCACGAATAAAGTACTTTGTAAATTTACGGGAATAATAATTATTCAATATAAATTGTTTATTTATTCATCGTATCACGAGAATAAATTAAAAATGTTGCGTTTAAATATTAAAAAAAAAGATTTTGAATCATTCTTTATTCATGCTGGTACAATTTATATGATTTTACCATATAATTTATTCGTATGGTCAAAAAATATTTACTGATAAATGTTCCTCAAACACTTTTATACAGTGTTATTATTGTAAACTGAAATCCTACTATGGCTAATAGATATAATATATTGGTTTCGAATATACAATAATAACACATTTATATCACATGCACTGAGGCGCAACTATAGTGCCAAACACTCAATTTTTAGATTGTATCCTAGATTTTATTTTACCGTAATAAAATTCATATTGTGATTAATAATATTTCAACTAATATTATTAGATACCAAAACTACCAAAAGGTTTAAATAAAAAATTTATATTTAATAAAAATATATTCACAAATGTATAAATTAGGTTAATGCTTTTGTATTAATTTTATCTAATATTTTGTTTCAGAGGAAAATTCGATAATTTTGTTGGCTCACGAAAAAAATCTACTTCTAATATTAGTTCAAAAACAAATAATGGTAGGTAATTTAAATAATTTTTATATTTGTAATAAATATGACAGGGGTGGAAAAATAAAATTAATGATTAAAAAATTGGTTTTATTTGTCTTAATTCCATATTCATACCAATATGATAACTTTTAGATACCATATATAGTTACCTAATCATTATTTAGTTATATAATAGAAGAATGTAATTTGTTATCATTATTAGGATAAATAAAATATATTGTTATTGTATACAAAAATTGGGAATTTTTTAATATGTATATAACCAGACAATAAGAAACATTAATAATGTATAAATTATTATTAAATATTATACTGAGTAATAAACATAATATAGTTGTACGAGTACAATTAATAATTGTTACAGAAACAAATTGTTTATTTTTTTCATTAATATTATTACGAAATGTTTAGTTATATTTTGACTGTTGTATTTTATTTTATTCACCATTGTTATAATTTTTACTGGCATTCTTAAAGGTTTATATATATTTATTGACGGAATGATTTAATTGGTTTATTTTTTCAGAAATACCTGTACTACCAGATGCAGATGAAAATATTGACGCTGAACTGTTGCAATCGGTTAAACCCGCAGAGTTGCATTCGAGAATGTTAGTATATCTTTTAAATCATTAACCTCTCTGAGTAATGAAAATAATTACGATTTTATAATTTTTTAGGACGGAATCGGCATATGAAGACAAAATCATGCGACCGCCGATACATTTAAATGATATCGATCTTGGAGTATTATTCGCCAACATGGCACAAAAAGAACATTTGGAAAACGTAAGAAAATATATCCAACCAAGATTACCTATTCATCAAAACTGTTTAAAATTAAAACATCAAATAAGAAATATTTTTTCTTTGATTGAAATAATTATGTTGTTACTATAATTAATATAAATAATTAATATAATATTTTATAAATTATAATAATACAATTATTTATGTATTAAGTATTTTTAAAATTAAAAAAAAAAAATAACTGCGAGTTTCCTTAATATGTGTTTGATATATGTACTTTGATCATTTTATATCGTATCAAAAGTTTGTAATTGTTATTATATACATGTAAAATAGTCTAAAATTTCTTTCAACGAAATTGCTAAATAATTCTGACTATATGCTTCTACTTTAAAGTACTTTAAGGGTCGTTTAACCTTTAAGATATGAAAAATACATAAATAAATAAATACATTATGCATTAAAACCACTATTTTTTAATTTAAATTTGGATATTCTTAATGACTTAATGTCCAGATATTATAAATTGTGATGATACAACACTAAATGTTAGTTAATCAAAAACTTTTACTATGACTAAAATGTCATAATATTCATTTTGTCATGATTTTATAATTGTTTTTCTTTTAATTATTTAACCAAGTCGAAACTGACATTTCTTGCATCACTTTTATTATATTTACTTCTCGGATAGACATTAATAGGCATTCAAATTTTGAATCACGTACTTAATATTTAATCTTGTTAAAAGATTTTTGTTATAAATAATAGTTACTTGAAAAAAATATTTAGGTACCTATACCTATTTTATCTCTATTAAGCCTCAAGTGTATTTTCGTTATTATTTTTGACTTTTTTTGACCAAAATGAATTCATATATAGAAGCATCTTATATGATAAGAACAATTCAATCATTTTTTTAAACATTATATTTGTAACTTTTCTAGATATTTTTGAAAATTCTTATTTTTTTTTCATTTAATGTTTAAACAATAATATTTTTAGGTTAGGTTAAGATTATGTACTATGTAAATTGTTTTTGTAATATTTTTTCATCGAAAAATAATGAGTATAGATAGGAGACAATGAACTTTGAAAAATCTGTGGAACCACATGAAATCGCTTTTAAATAATATGCTTGTAATTACAATTAAAATAAAATTATAATTAATATAATGTACAACTTGTGATACATACATATTTAATTACTGAACGAGTGTTGATGAATATGTAATAACCAACGAACGTTGTTATTTTCTTGAAACAATTATAATTTTTAATAATTTTAGTCCACGGGGTATATAAAGTTAATTTTATTCAGTAATTAGTAACGTCAATATTTTTGAAGGTTTAACACTTTAAAGACTTTTTTTGTACAAATAATTAAATTTTTTATAACATTACTTATCTTTATGCCAAATAAGTAATAATTGTGCTAACTAATGGATAGGATTCCCAATTTTTTTTTATCATTCTTTTAATTTACAATAATAATGTTAACCATAAATTAAATAGTTTATTGTCGTATTATTACTTATAATGATATTACAATCATTACGAAAAGGACTATTTAGATCAGCGGTTTCTAAACTTTTACAACAGACACCTTTGGAAAATGGTTTGCTTCTGTGGAACCTAATTACTAAGTGTCTAAAATTTATCTTATTACGAATACAAAGATACCTGCACACATTTTTATTCAATATTGTTTGTGTTGTTTCACTTAGCTCAAAATAACCATGGAATATTGTTTTCCATACATTCATTTCATTAAATAGCGATAACCTATATACTATTATTTAAAATCTAGGAAAATGTTTCATTTTATTAAATGAAATAATGTAGGTGTAATTTTTATATATATTCACATACAGGCGCGGATCCAGGGGGAGGGTCATGGGAGTAATGATTCCCTCCAGAAAAATATCAAGATTAGATCCTTTGTGCTTATTTAAAAATTAAAATATGCATAAAATGCGTTTTTAATTTTTTTTTCAATTAGATTTTTTCTTGCAATAAAAATTTAATACAACATATTACATTTATATACATTTATGCTACATTACCACTTCTTCATGAAATCATAATTTCCATCCAACTTCTAAGAATATTAATAGTGATTATAAACTTACTGATAGACTATAATATTGTTGGCAAATGAATATAAATATAATAGTAAATCTGCTGAAATTTTTGAGTGTTCGACCTTTGACGGAAAGATAACTGTCAATTAGTTGGCTGGTACCGAATTGTTTCCCGAGCTCCAACCCCACGTGCCAAATTTGTTCTTGTCTGAAAAAGAAATTTTATTAGGTATAGCCGAATTGGTTTCCGTTTAACTAGCACATTTTTTTTTCTCAATTTTACAGTCCTAGGACTGTCAACTTTAAAATAGGCTTGGTTATTATGCGTTAATGTATGTTAAAAAAAAATGATAAAAATATACAATTTTAAATCGTTGATTTGGAAGTCAACTAATCATCACTTAGGTGTACGAAATACAAATAATAAAATATAATAAATACATTTTAAAACCACTAATTTGCAAATTTGAAGCTAACTTTCTTTAAATATTAAATTCTCGTAATTTTCTCATTAATATACTCAGTCATACAATTTTTCAAGTATTTGTTATTTCTTTCCTGTTTGCTATAAATTTGCTAGTCTCTAGTAATCTATAGTCTATTATATTTCTATACTCTTATCGATATAATAATTGTGTCTATATGTCATATATATAGCTTTTAAAATTTTGTTTTTTGCTCTCAATGCACTGGCTCGCCTAACCTGTACACAAATGGGAACCAATTCGGCTATATCTAATAAAATACCTTTTTCAAACTGGAACCAATTCGGTTACTCCCAATTCGTTACCCATATGTTTATATAATATAATACCATATACTTGCTATGGCACCACTAATCGCTAATTTAGGTTCTAATAATTTGTTAAAAAATACTATACATGCGATTATTTTCTTTTCTCAGGCGTTTTAAGGCTTAAGGTTTCATGGTTTCGTTTAAACATGGGAAAGGAACGCTTTGTTCGATGTTCACAAGAATCTACACATAAATGTTGATAATAATATTTCTAAATTTGAAAAAATAAAACAAAGAAGATTAAACTTTGTTATTTAATTTTAAAAATTAACAATTTCATATATTCATAACGTTCTAATTTGAATTAATAATTTACTTTTATTATTTTGTAATTGTGTATTATCTTTTTGTATTTTCGAAAAAATGATCCCCCCAATTTGAGTTCTAGATCCCCGCCTGTTCACATAAATTGAAGAATCGAAGGGTTCCATTGAATATACATTGGAAACCGCGGGTTTAGATGACAAAATCACTTAGGTATAAAATATAAAAAAATCGTCAATACTCATTTGTTGCGGCCACAGACCGTAAACCGAGTATACGCGTAACTCCACCGTAGTGCAAATACCATAAATCGAAAATTATATTGAACTTTGTCTATTATATTTTGTACGAAAGTGAAAAAAGTATTGTTTTCTACTAACAGGTGAATGTTGGTGAACGAGATGTGGGCATGATGATACAGCAACACCTTAAACTGTTGAACATTGCATCCGAGAACGAGAACTGAAACAGATGAACTGCCCGAGGTAGTGTTGGATCCAAAAGAACATATTTATTTTTTTTTTACTCCCCGGCTTTCTTTATTGTATAAAATTGTGTTTATTTGTACGAGAAATAATTATTTTATCGATACGAATTCCAAATAATAAATAATGATTTAAGTTATTTGAGTCTAATGTTATTATTTTGTTAGTACTCGCGCGTTTTTATCTTTTTCGCGTCGTTATCTCGAGGACTGTTTCGGAAGAAGAAGTTTGAACCATCCAACATTTGGATACATATTTGAAGTGAACGTTGACAGTCACATGGTTGTAAATATATATTTGAAATAAATGGTAAACATTATAAATGTCGCGTACGCGGAAAATGTTTCAGTCAAACTTTGTGCGAAAAATAAACGAATGTAATACGTACGTCGAACGTCTGCCGCGTGTACTGTAATGCAGCCGTAACGAGTGTTGTGACTAACCCTGACGTTCTAGCCGACTCGTAATCGCGTGGATTACGATTAATTGTAACGAAACGGTGGACCGCAAAGATCGGGAACATCGTTCGACGAAGAGACGAGCGGTGAGAGAGAGAGAGAGAGAGAGAGAGAGAGTGAGACGCGTAACGTACGTTCGCTATAATCGTCTTTATTTATTATCAACATTACGTAATAACAGACGACCATAGGTACGCGTGTAGTGCAGTACAACGGAACCGATTAAACGTTAAAAACATTATTACACCGCCGCGGTGAGTGGGTGGGTGGGGGGAGTCGGTTAGTACGAGGTTCCACGGGATGTTCCGCGACGGCTGCGAGACGTGTGCCCGCGCGGTTAACGCGTTGCATTCAGTCAGTAATGGTCGCGTTGTCCTTAGGTATGGCCGTTCGCACTGCACACCCGTCGTCGTCGTCCTTTGACCACCGGTGGTCACGTGTGGTCGGTGCGTGGTACCGGTTCGTTGTGTTCGCGGCGCTCTACGCGTTACTCGCGGGCAGCCGGTCCGCCGAAGCTCAGGAGCCAAGCAGCAGATGCGCTTCAAAGGTAACGAAAGGAAAAAAAAAAAAAAGACACGAGCGAAACGAAAATCTTATTGTTCGACGTCGTAATTGTTACACCCGATTTCCGGAACAAATGGCCCTCACTCCACCGCCCGTGGGTCACCGGGGATCGTCGTCGGTTTCGACGAGGAGAGAAGTTTTTTCCACCCCCTCACACCGACAACGGCGTATAAACGACCGAAACGTTGTTTCGTGTCTACGGGTTTGTTGTTATTACGGAGTGCGCTGCGGTTCAAGCGCATAATCGCTTGTTAAGGACGTACCTCTCCTTTATGAGCCAATTGAACGTTTTACTCGCGGCGCGGCGCGTGTAGAGGTGTACGGTGCAATAAAAAGCAATTGGTAAAAATGTGCACGTACGTAGTGCGCGTGCACGCGAATGAAAATATGGTGTACACGAAAAGTTTTATTATTTATTTTTATTCGTAACTTTTATCGGAACTGTATTCGCACAACGACCTAACCTTCGACCGTTTACCCGTGACGTTTTCGTAATACGTGTGTGTACCTACACGTATCGCAAAATGTACATACGTTGTGAGCACGCGACTGGCGATCGGAATCGGTAATACAGATCGAAGGTTCAAGTGATCGATAACAATTGAGACGATGCGGCGCAGCGATAAACTCGTATAGTACAATGCACGCGACAACAACGTATAACACGGAATCCGTTCGTTTTTACGTCTCACACGTATGTTGTTCGTTGGCCAGACAGTAATGACGTTACGTCTTACACGTATGTTGTTTATTGACCAGACATTAATAACAGTGGCACCCGTAGACGCACTTGTTACAGTACGTGTAGTGCAATACCGTTGTTCGACCGTATGCAGGGGCGGACTGGCTAAGGAGGCAAAGGGGTGATCGCCTCCTGGGCCCTCAATAGTTTCATATTAATTGTTCGTATACACATACAAAATGTAATATTAAACTATAATAATAAAACACCAATCATTTACTATTAGAATATCGGAATTTGGACGAATTGAGCACAGTTAACTAAAAATATTTATTAGTTAAAATGTAATAATAATAGACCCAGTTGACTATCCCCCCCCCCCCGGCCCCTCGATACCTAGTCCGCCCCTGACCGTATGAGAGATATGTATGCTTCGTATAGACAGATGGATACCTCAATCCGTAATGTACCGGTCGTTTCAATATTTCCATCGGAATTATACTTAAATATTATTCGATTGTAGCGGCGCCAACGCACTAATCATTGAACCCTATTTGTGTTATGCACGTCGGGTAGACCAATGACCGATGTTGACCCCACAATAACACATGTAGTACTTAACCTGTTGTATCGGTATATGTTCCCTGACCAATTTATGACTTACCCAGTCTATGTTTAGAGAAAAACCTTATATTCCTTCCGTTCATCATCATAAGAATAATAGTTATTATTAGTGATGGGTCGAACCTAATTTTTCGGTGTCTAACCGAAAATTGTCAAAGTATTAGGAACCGAACCGAACTTGTAAAACTTATAATTATCCAAACAAACTCGAACCGAACCAAACTATTATGTATTTATTAACGTCTAACACTATTAATTCTGATACAATTTTTAAAAATATAGAGTATAAACAACATATTTTTTCCTTTTTCTTTTCCAAAAATAGATTTGTGGTTTTGATCATATTATCATACATCATATCGACAGCTACGTGTCAAAAACTTGTAACTTCATTTTTACGAATTGCTAACCTCGTAACTTAACTAAAGTGTATTTTTTTTTAACTTCTTATTACGAGGTTTTGAAATTACAATTTAACCGTATCACAATGTATTATACACTACAATCGTTTTTACAGCGTGTACAACCTACGCTACCAATACTATTTTTAACAAAATGCTTCAACATAGAATTATTTTAATTTATAATACCTATCGTAATAATAAAAAAAAAAAAAAATAGTTAATACTACCATTAAGTATAGAAAATTAATTTTAGATTGTTTGATTATGAATATTTTCAAGTTTAAATTTCGAACATACCTAAATGGTAAATAGTTAGGTTCTATTTACTTTCATTTTGAGTTCGAATTATCAACCGAACCGAATTACCTAGTATTCGGTTCGGTTGGGTTCGACCCTTCACTAATTAATATCATATGAGGAGCGCACAATATTATATTGCGTACGGCTGCACAGATTAATTATCATTACGACGGTCTTATAGGTTATCAAAATATAAATGTTCACCTTGGGTTCGTGAATTTTTTCAATATTGATCTCTCTTTATTTTTTAAATTTCCGAACGATCCGTTATCGTAAAAACGGAATAGAGTTTGTTCTTGAAAAATTCTGATAGTGGTCAATTTCATCTAAATTGCGCTATAATACGCATATTATATCATGCTAACAAATTACGGTGATTATTCATAGCGTATACAATCAAAAATTGAAAAATTACCGTCGAAGGACAAGACAAGAACATTATTTAACGGTCCAATATCATAAATGATATCACATAATATTTTCCATTCATTATTGTCAACGTTCATTGACGTTTTTGCAGATTCAGGTGAAAAATAATAAAACATCTGTCTGGTCGTAGATAAGCGGTTTCTCATCCATGTTATAATGGTTCTTTTTGAAGTGGCTATCACTACTCCTTAGAATATGCTCATATGATTGCAAATATTTATGTATTGGGATTAAACATTTACAAGCAAATAAATCACATCATGTTTATCGCTTTCGGATACCTATATACCTACGTGTTAATGTGATTTTTTTTTTATATCAAACAGTGCGAGCTAAAGTTGTGTACTAATGAAATGATTTAGATTATTTTTTGTTTGAACATGACGAACAAATTCTCTAACAAAACATTTTAAAGTAACATTTTTAATTGGACCCGAGGACTAGAGATACAATAATTAAACTGATTTAGAATAATCAAATAAAATAATCCAATAAGGTTTGAATTTAATTTATTACTTGATTCTAGTCTTGCAACACAGTCCATCCAAACAAATTGAACGTCCACCTGATCGCCCATACGCACGACGACGTCGGATGGCTGAAAACCGTGGACCAGTATTATTATGGCAGTTGGTATTTTGTTTTTAATTTACAGTTTTCAATGATAAAATGAAATGCTGCCGTGTAGTATTGTCGTATTATTTCAATCACCCTTGGACGTTTGTTCGTTTACAACAGATCAGTCGTACCTTTAACTTTTATTTACAAAACACGTAGAAAATAGTCAAATTAAAAATCCTACACAAACGCGATAAGCTCAACCTGTTTACACGAGAATAATTTATTTTATAAGCATTATTTGCTCAATAAAAATATTGAATAATGTAAATAATAATGTAAAAACCTAATTTATGTCTAAAGAAAACGTATAACTGATAGTGATATTTTCATTGAGCGATATTTAGATTTTTAATTATTATAGTTGACTTTCAACTGAATGATAATAGAAAACTTTGTTTATGTTGTGATTGACATTTAAATTACTTCAATATAAAAAAATTGCCGAATATAATGACAACCGATGAAAGTTATTTAGTTTCAACTTAAAACTTCATATGTTTATATTACATTATTTATATTTAAAAAATACAATTTATCTCCTATTCATATATCAAATATAACAATATAATAAAATATTTTGAATTTTAATCAACTTGAATAAAGCTTATATTACTCCAATTATTATTTCTGATATCTGTAATTTTTTTTCTAATTTTATAAAGTTATATAAATTAGAGAAATATTAACAGTATAAATTGTATACAAAATAAATTATTATTTATAAAATATAACTAAATATAACTATTTATAAATTAGAATTTTTTTTAACATTTAATTTGATTATTTTTTGTATAAACGTTAATAAAATATAAATATTATATTATACGTAAAAAGCTTAAACATTTAAAATTATAAGGTAGAAAACTACTTCGATCAATTATCAAATTTTAAACTTAAAGTAATATGTCATAAAATATTTAAGTATGCTGTTTTTCTTTATATTTTTAATAATAAGTGAAATCTCACGAGAAAATCAATAAATATTATAATGTGTTATTTTTCTCTCGTTCAATCCTTAAGTATAATAAAATTATTTAGTTGTGTATAATTCGACATAAATAAATGATCGAAATAAATTTAGTAATAAAATGAGTAATTAACCGTTGACATGCGCCAGTGACCAGTGACAAGGTCATTGTGTTATATGTTGTAGCCTTTTTATAACAGCTAAATAATGAATTCGTCGAAAAATAAATTTGTGTTGTGAAAATTCCAAACACAATTTTAATTTACTAATACAACTAAATAGGTGAAATAAATTAAACCTTTTTAGACTATAGTGGTTAATAGGTACAAAATTAAAAGATTAAGATTTCAATTTGTTTTAAACATAGCGAATGAATATTTATAGTATATTTGAATAAATATTAAAACTAGTTGTATTTTATTTAATAAGTCATTTAATCAACATCCGCTCTGTTTGTAGTTTATAATGTTAATCATAATATAATATAGTTTTAAAAGAATTTGTTCAAATTTTTAGTATGCTATAAAATATTTAAATTTTATCGAGTGAAATAATATTGAATTATGCACCATTGCAAAATGTGCAAAAAACATTCTTATATTTGTATTTGTTCTCAAAATATCGCTTTCAATTAACAATTATAATAGTAAATTTGTATTCTAATCATATATCGATTCAGTTAAATTACAAGGTGTTTAATACAAATCATATATTAACTAATTTTGTGTTTGATAAGCCGTTTTCGTATATAATTTGAACAATCCTGCACGTGTGTACTAATTTGCATATAGATATGCTTTATTTAGATATATCTATTGTTTAATGTCGACAAATTAAGGCTTTTAACACTCGAAAAAAAAAAAAAACCATAATAACTGCATGAAATAAATTAATTCCACCTCTATAATTTGGTTTATATCATTATTTTATTTAGTGTTTAGGTAATTTTGTAAGTACCGACCAATTACAATGTTTTTTTCTTTGTTTTTATTTTAATGGATTCGAATATTTTTTTTTCCTGAAAAGGTAATAAGGTGCATGCACCTTTTGGAGTACAGTACATATTGGACTCTGTGGTGTCTGAATTATTGAAAAACAAAAATCGAAGGTTAAGACTTTTTTTTTTACAAATCTTAATATTATTATATAGAAACGGGCTTTGGTCACGTATGGCTAATAAATCATGTATTTTTCAGATTCGTTTTTGTGGAGACGGCGTTTTTATGGCGCTGGTGGGAAGAGCAAGACGAGTGGAACCGGAACAGCTTGAAGACACTTGTAGATGAAGGACGGTTACAACTATTACACGGCGGATGGGTGATGAGCGATGAGGCGGTACCTCATTATTCAACCCTTATCGATCAAATGACATTGGGTCTCAAGTAAGCGCAGACATGTTACGGGTTGAAAGACGTGCAGAGTTGAATTATAACTAATAGATTATTAAGTAAACGATGCGTTTCCATATAGATTTGTTACATGTACGTGTATAGGAAACGCATACAGTCGGATTTCCGATTATTAATGTGCTTGGAGTTTGAGATAATACGCACCCGTAATGATTTATCAATTTGCGATTATGATTACAGCAATTTATAATGATTATTAATGACTGTATGTTTTTGTAATATAGGGACTTTACGCTTATGAATAAATTAAATTAATAATGAGTATTGCATGAAACTTTTTCAATTTGGTACATAAATGTTATTATTTTAATTAGTCGTTTCATAAGTATTTCGCACGAACTTATATGATTTAAGTGTGTTTGATAAACAAGAGGTATTTACATGGCTATTAATTACATTATATAGATTTTTGAATGATACTTTTGGTGAGTGTGCACGACCTCGGGTGGCATGGCAAATAGACCCATTCGGACATTCAAGTGAAGTAGCCGCTGAATTTGCCGAAATGGGTTTCGATGGATTAGTATTGGGCCGTATTGATTACGAAGATATAGCTCTCAGAAGATCACAGAAAACAATGGAAGTTGTATGGAGACCGGATATCAACATGGGTAAGATAACCAACATACGAGTATTATAGTAATAACAATATTTAAAATCATTTCATATTTAATAGAGTGATTTATCAGACTTATATATCGTCACTTTATTATTATTCTTACTTATCGGTCGTATACCACCGCTGTGTTGACAATTTATTACGGTTAGAAGAACATTTTATTGCGTGAAAATGTTTTTCAAATTGAAATGTAAAAATATAATATTAATGTCAATGATATGAGTACGATCTACATAATTTTAAAAAAAAAAACCATATTATGATTTTTATATTTTGATATTCAATTTTTGCGTTCGTTTACAAAAATATTATGATCACATTCCGATGTAATTGATACACTGGTATTTAGAATATTATTTTAATTAATTTTTTTACCAATACGAAAATAAAAATTTAGTATTCTATTATTTCAGTACTAATTACATATATTCACTGCTGCGTTAGGAATTATTTTCAATGTTAATTAATTTAATAATACTTGGATAATAACAGTATATGCAGTGTGGATTTAAAAAAAATTGCAATTAAACCGGCGCGCCGCGGCATTATTATTATAGTGGAAGTCAATTAATTATAAAACTCATATTTTTATATTTTGTTTGACAAAAAAAAATTATCCTAGTTTTTTCGTAGATAATATTAATATATTTTATTTAAGTATATATATATACACTGGAAATACTTTAAATTAGCCCTTTTAGCCACAAATTAAATATCAATTTGGATTGTTAACCGAAAATATTCAACATAGTTGAGGATTAGTAATCGCAATTTCAGTATTATTGTTTTTTAATTTTTTTTTATAGCGATTTGATAAGTATACACAATTTAAATTTATGTTTAAATACTTTTTTAAGACATAATTCGAATTGATGAATCAAACCGGATTTATCATCTACGATTTTCTGAATTTTCGGTATAAAACATTTATCGACGTATTACATTTACTATTTGTGTAATATTAATGTACTTAATATGTACACAGCCTTTAATTAATCGAATATACTGCACTTTACAGGACAAAGTGGTGAATTATTTACAAGCGTGTTGTATAATCTATACGTTGCGCCCGAAGGATTTTGTTTTGACGCGTTTTGCAACGATGATCCTATTTTAGATAACCCGAAACTGCACGGGTACAACGTCGATGCAAAAGTAATAATTAAAATACCAAGTATATCTCATACTTGCTTCTAATTAATGAGTCGAATGATAAAAAATAATTTATTTCCCGGAAAGGTAGAAAACTTCGCAAACCATGTCCAAAGATACGCTTCAGCATACAAAACGAATAATATTATGATGACCATGGGAGGCGATTTCTCTTACTCAGTAGCGTCATCGTGGTTCAGGAACATGGATAAATTAATCAAGTACAGAAATTTTCTTTTTTTACTTACAAACAATTTTCTTTAACTCGAATGCGTGCGTACATTCGTATATGTTATTCGACTTTGATTTTCTAGTCCAGTTCAATAAAATAGGAATCAATTTATTTTTGCGTATTTTCAAATTAAAAAAAAAAAAAAAAGTAGTATATGATTAATCGACTATTCAGCTCGATGTTTAATTGTTTTAAAAATATTATATAATTAAAACGACTAAAATGTACAGTTACCAATAATTTGTTCTAGGCATGTTAATAAATTGAAACCGGAATTAAACGTATTATACTCTACACCTGATTGTTATTTGTCTGCCCTGCAAAATACCGACAACGTTACTTGGCCACTTAAGGATACGGACGATTTCTTCCCTTATGCGCACGACGAACATTCATATTGGACGGGGTATTTCACCTCCAGATCGAATTTAAAATACATGATTTGCAAAGCGAACAACTTATTACAGGCAGGTATTATAGTAAATACTCATCGCGATTGATTTAAACGGGAATTTAAAATGACAGTGGTTCTAATTAGGCAGTGAAGCAAATCAGTTCGATTCTTGGAGACGGGGTCAACGGAAGTGTCCAAAAATTGGCTATAGTCGTTGCCCAGTCGCAACATCACGATTCCATTACTGGCACGGAAAAACAGCATGTGTCTGATGATTACGCTCTTTATTTAGACGAAGGAATCGATGAGTCCCAAAAAGTGTTAACGGCCGCTTACAGGTAACCAAATAATCTAATATAATTAATAATCTAATATAATTAATTACTCACTTGTATTAACCTACATCTATAAATATAATCATTTTATTGTATTTATAGATCTAGGTACTATTGGTCCAGTTAAAATATATTTATTAAAATCACGAATATATAAACATTATATGAATACATTCCATGCATTTATAGTATTACTCGGTATGATTGTTTTAATAAATAATGAAAACGAATTATTTGTTTCGTATTGTATTCAATGAGATAGAGGTCGTATGAAATCATAAAATAAAGTTAAAAGTTTCAGTTGATGTAACTTGTGACAAACAAAAAACTTTTTTAGATTTTTGTTATAAAATAGTTCTTCAGCGTACAAATAATAAACAAATATTCTTGTATTATATTATCATAAAACATACAAACTATTGTAAAATGTTTTGTAATATAAGGTGATTTTGAGAATTGATAATAATATTAATTAATAGCTGATTTGTCATATTTTGGCTAAGAATATCATTAAATTTTACCTCTCAGTCTGTTTAAATTTTGATGCCTTTGATAATGTTTTGGTTTTGTTTTATACAATATACTCGCTACCTGGAAGTGCTGTTAATTATTATTTTAGGTTTGATAAACTGGTCTAAACTGGACTAATTATCTTTTAATTTCATATCTTTTTTCAATTTATCAATTAAAATTAAGACACTACTGTGCATAACTTGATATTATAACCAAAATAGATAATAGTTTCAAATTTAATTAGTTATTAGAAAATGTAATAAGATTACTGTGTGATAAAAAAATATACCAATTATATAGAAGATATTATCGTAAATTGGTTTTGGTGATGATTTTAGCAAAAACGTTTACACAAGTTTAAATAGTCAAAATCAATACTCAGTAATCGTTTACATGCTATCTCGAATTTTAGTTAATAAATACATTGTAGTAAATATACATTTATTACACTTACAAACTGAATACTATTATTGATTTTCCATTTCTAATTTGGATAATTGGCTCAAGTTCGGACAAACAATTTAATATATGGTTTAAACTTCAGTTGATAATAATATTTTGAGAGTCAGATGTATTGCATGATTAATATTCCAAAAGTACTGGATAATCTGTTTAAGGTGTATACTTTGTCGGACGACTTCTGTCTTTTATTGTTCGTACAGTTCTTTTATACTAACAAGATGCAATAGAAAAATCGAAAAGTAATAACGTACAATTACAGAAACATTCTACACTAAAACAATAGATAAAAAAAATAATAAGTAAAAATAGTACATCAGCCTGATTGAGCACTCTGTTTGAGAACATTCGTGCATATTGTATTACAGTATTTATGTATCTACGTGTATTATATGTATTACATTTCGTATGTATTTTAAATATATACTCATGTGCGTGTGTACATAATTAAATACATACATTACCGTGTCGATTTTACAGGAAATGGTTTGGAAACGACTTTCCCGAACAACGCTATTGCAAGTTGCTCAACATCAGCGAGTGCGACGTTTCGGAAAACAATTCTAAATTCGTGATCACCTTGTACAACCCGCTGTCGCACGCCGTCACCACCCCGGTGCGCATCCCCGTCAAATACGCGGATTACAAGGTCACCGGTCCGAATGGTAACGACAATATCGGCCTGAAACCCTGGCGTTCGTGTACGATAACCGTGTTAGTGGGTTTTTAGGGTCCAACGTGCAGTACGAACTGGTGTTCTTACCCGGTCAAATTTTCCGACTCGGGGGCCGCGGTTCGAATGCAACGCACGAGCTAGTATTTATCGCCAGTGAAGTGTCGCCGTTGGGATTAGTCAACTATCACGTGGAGAGAATCAAAGAATTAGAAGCCCCACCGAGACCGGCGGTGCACAACAGCACCGAGGATGTGATGATTGACAACGGGGTAAAATAACTATATACACGATATTAAATTAGAATTAAAAACCATATTTTTTAGTTGGTATGAGATTTTATTTATGAAATGCCACAGCGCAACGTATTATTGGGTATTTCGTAGTTATAATAAAGTTGAGGGGGTATGGACCATTGGAACAACAGTTTAGTAGCCAAAACTAAGTACAAAGGATATAATAGATAGAATATCAGGAGGTGATTGAGAGTGGAGGAAAATACTGTCGTATCAATTGTTTGATAAACGAAGGACAAAGATGAATTAAAAAGGATATACTGGAAAGAGAAAATATATTGCTGCAGTAAAAAAGGAATTAGTCGAGTTTAAACTGGGTTTTCTTGGAATGGAGGCTGCACAAGGAGAAATTAGCGTATGTAAATAACGGTAGCGCACAGAGTTATGAAATAGGTAATAATATTAATATGATACACCTGTATAATTTTGTTTTCCGTTTTGACGAATTCGTGTAGAAATTAAAAATCGGTTTCAACGGTACCAGTGGCCTCGTGCAGTGGATCGAGAAAAACGGCACACGATATCCTTTGCAGCAGAATTTCTTTTACTACGAGTCCATGAAAGGATACAATTTCAACGCTGATAACCGTGCTAGCGGAGCTTATATTTTTAGACCCACTAAAAATCAGCCAACTGTAATATCAGAAAAAATTAATTTGACAATTTATCGAGGTAATGATACGATGTATTTATTTATTTATGAAATATTTGTATACATGCACTTAACGTGTCAATATTGTGTTTAAGGAAAAAACGTGCATGAAGTTCATCAGTCTTTTAGTTCTTGGTTAAGTCAAGTAGTTAGGATTTACGACCAACAAGAATTAATCGAATTCGAATGGCTCGTGGGACCTATTCCTATAATGTAAGAAAAAATAATGATTTTAATTATACAACCAATATATTTGTTTAATCCATCTAATTAGTGAATTATCGAGATTATACGCGCTATATTATTGTTGTTAGGTTTGGTTTAAAATGTATTTAATGTTTATTTTCGTTTATTGATTGTTCGATTAGGGAATGGGTTGGAAAAGAAGTCATTACTAAATATACAACTAAAATAGCGTCGAACGGTACATTTTACACGGATTCGAATGGTAGAAGGTGGATGAAGAGGAAGCTGAATTATCGGTCGTCTTGGAATTTAACACTAACCGAACCTGTCGCCTCTAATTACTATCCAATCACTTCGAGCATAGCAATCAGAGACTCCATTCACCAGGCTACGGTAGTAACCGATCGACCTCAGGGGGGTTCTAGTATTGAAGACGGCACATTAGAACTTATGGTAAATTAATGATAGCTATAATATTATTATAGTTTCATAAATACACGTAATATATTTTAAGTTAATTTCTATTATTTATCGTTCTTACCTACTAATATTTAATCATTTTTTTTAAACCTATACTATTAACACTGACTTAGGAGAGAAAAATCATTAAGTATGTTTTACATATCATCAGTAATTTATTGAATATTTAATGACTAGTAAAATTGTTAATATTTGTTTTTTGCGCATTATGTAATATTTGTTTTACGAATGAAATTTTATGTGGATTTTTAATATTTTCACCACTTTACGTACGATACATATTATTACATTTATATTTGATGTTAGCTTCATCGTCGACTTTTATACGATGACAGTCAAGGGGTTAGTGAACCATTGGACGAGAATCAATATGGAGAAGGCATGGTGACCAAAGGAAAACATATATTACACTTTAATGAACTAGATAAAGCTGCCAAAGCGCATAGACTATCTGCGCTCCACACCGTCATGCAACCTGTTATTACATTAGCTCCGACTCATATGGGAAATACCGAATGGGTTTCTAAGTTCAGTGCTACGGTAAAATCAATCTTTGCCCAATAACTTTTTTATTCTAATTTTAACTTGTTTTTTATTTTCATTTTCAGTATAACATGTTGAACGTAACATTGTCTTCAAATATACATATTTTAACTTTGGAACATTGGAGAAACAATCAAATTTTATTGCGAATAGAACATATATTCGAAAAGAACGAAGATAGATTTTTATCCCTGCCCGAAAAAGTTCCTCTTGATGTAAGTATATACGTTTCGTTAAATTTCGTTATTTTTAGCTGTAAATGACATTATGGAAAATACTAGGTTTTTCATCGTCACTTATGTGATGATTTATATTGGGTTTTTGTTTTATACATTTCAGAAATCGATTGTTAATCATTTTATATTAAATATAGATTTAGTTTATGATCACGTAAAATATTACGTTTACAAAAATAAAATAAGCGCATTCTGGTACATTACTTAACAACTCAAATCTCAGTTAATAAACATTCATAAGATTTGGCAACATTTCATAATTTATAGCCATGTTTTTAAAACAAATGAATTGAATGTATTAATTAAAATAGAAAACTAAATGGGGGTTATGAAAATAATTGAATTTTGAAATTGCTCTAAAGATATTTATCATCAAAGAAAATAAGAAGAAACCAAAATGAAAAAGATAAAATTACCATAATACTATTGTTATTTAAAATAATTTGATAAAAATCTAACAATGTCTAACAAAAATACTTTCTACGTCCGTTATCATTTAGTTTAGCTAAAAATAATAATTTCTCAAACTTTTTGTCAGAAAACTCGTTAGATATTATGTCGTACAGCTGTCGCTAGAGGGAATTCCTTTATTGGGGTCAACTGAAACTGTGAAATACTTGGTGTTATTTTGTCATGAGATACAATATTAATGTACATTTAAATGTTTAATAGAGGTTTGAAACAAATTTACGGGTTTATTATTATCTTTCAAATCGTATGTAACCTTAACTTTGCATTAAAAAACTAGCTAACATTTGAAAGGTATTGTATTGTCAATACTAAAAGTCGCTTATATCTTGTACTTGTATACTGCAAACACGTGATACGTTTAAAGTCGTTCACCAATTTAGGGAACACTGAATTTCTTGGCTGGATTATGTTGGAATAAATCAAATTTTTTTTTACAAGCTAGTGGTACATAAATACACATTTTCAGATAAATTTCAAATTTTTAATTCTCTCGAAACGCGTATGTGCAATACAACTTATTTTTTTTGAATAGCAACCGGTATTTTCGATACCAAATTTGGATAGATTGAATTTTTTTAAGTCATTTTGACCAATTAACATGGCTCTAAAACCGAAATTGACTAAATGAGAGCCATTTCAATTTTAATAAATAACACATTTTTACAATTCATTATAAAATGCATAAAACCATGTAATTAATTTTAATTAAATAATTGTATATCCATATTACGTTAATCTTGTTTATAAAACGTATATAAAAAAAAAAAAAAAAATACGTAAAAAAATTCAAAAAGTAACCAATAATAAATAATTATAAATGGTTTTATGCGTTTTATAATGAAGTAAAAATGTGTTATTTATTAAAAGTTAAAAAATTAAATGGCTTTCATTCAGTCAATTTTGGTATTAGAGACATGGTTAATTAGTCAAAATGACTTAAAAAAAATCAGTCTATCGGAATTTGATATCAAAAATACCGGTTGCTATTAAAAAAAAAATGAGTTGCACTGCGCATGCGCGTACTAAGAGGGTTAAAAATTAAAAATTTATCTGAAAATGTGTATTTATATTCGATTAATAAAAAATTCGATTTATTCCAACATTATCCGGCCGAGAAATTCAGTATTCCCTAAATTGGTGAACACACGGTATAATCAACGACTATATTACCGAGATGTACCCGTACATTATGCGTACAATTTATATTCGTATACAACAGAAATTATTTACAAAGAACATGTTTTATATATTATTATAAATTGTAATGTTCAACAATTCGGAAGACGAGTCCACGTCATCGGTTATACGATGGTAAAATGATAAAAATTATGTTATTGGTAGCTGTTGTGTACATATAATATATCAGGATCGTGTTTAAAGAAAGTATACGTATAGTTTTTGTTGTTAAACGTGTTCTGGCTGGGACGTTCAAGCCCGGCACGATGTTGACATCATTGGATTTTTTTTCATTGCACATAAAACTCGGATTCCTGTTGCCTTTTTGGCAACTATTTCTATTGCAGCAGTTGTAGTAATATGTATGTTTGACAAACAAAATAAATAAAATATTAAAAATAAAAAAAACTTTAAAAAAATCCGTTCCAGAATTGAACGTTTTAAACATTTTTAAATAAATATAGTCCGTTAGGCATGCTGTTCCTTTTTTTAACTATAGTTGACTACCATATAATCATTACCATCATAAATCTTGTACGAAATTGTTGGCTTATTTGAGAATTCTTTTGCTGTTATGGTCGTTAGTGTTTTTACTATTATCAGGCACTTGATTTTATAACAATTGTGTACAACTTTTGAAAAATTACGTGTTTTAGAGATTATTTTTGCATTTGGAAGTGTTGGCGTACCAAGAACTGACGCTGAGCGCGAATTTAGCTAAGAAAGATCTAGATCGTTACCGATGGAATTATAGTGATAAACCGCAATCTCAAGGACCAGAATTGGACGAACAGTTACCTGAAGTTCTTCTCACGCCAATGGCCATTAGGACTTTTTTGCTTACAGTGAAAAAACGATAGTGCTAACCTATACCTACATATGCGTATTAATTTATTTTGATTCTTACGGTTGAAATAAAGCTAAGCGGTTATGATATAAGAGACTTTTTTACTAATTTTTTTATTATTATTATTTTTTCAATTGTTTTCTCTCACGCAGAAATGTAATACTCAAAGGAAAATAATTAAACTGAATTATTGAATATAATTTTAAAATTTTTATTCTTGTTGAAAAAGCATTTACTGTAGAAATAAAACGAAGAGTTAGTCATTCAAAGAAGGAAGTTTTGTATATATTATAATCCGTGCAAAAAAATATTTATTCCGCTATTTATTACAGTTTTTATTTATACAATTTAATAGATAACTATAATATAAAAAAAAACCATATGCGTCCTTAGATAATGGTGTCTAAAGACGTTGTTGGATTAATTGTTGTCGAATTTCATATTATAAATTACAACGCAAACGTCGTTAGGTTAGCCTGTCTACCGCACCAAAACTATACCTTGCAAAGGTCCGTTTTATTCCCTCGTGCATGACATATGATTTGTGTAAAATTTGTAGTATATAACGTATTAGACTAATTTTATAATTTAATCGATTTAAATTTACGGATTCATTTCACTTGTAAATCATGAACGTAATAAATAGTAACCATTGTTTGTTTGATATAATTGCCAATTGAATAAAGTATACCTGTATAAAATATACAACTTGTAAAATATTTCAGTCGAACTTATATTATAATATTTACCGGAAAAATAAAATATTATTATTATTATAATTATTATTACAAACGTGAATGTTTTATTTGTACGTTTTATCCCGCACGATATACTGCGTGTCTGTATGCGTTCGTACTTATATACTTGAGTATATTATTGTAATGTGTATTTACCATACTTATAACTGAACTACAATTAATAATTTAGTAAACGAACAATTATAACCAGTCCATATTATTATATTCAGACAATTATATGTGTTTATAATAAATATTATGTATTTATCGATTTTTCTTTTATCCTTTTGCAATGAGCATTTTCATTTTACAAACATTAATTATTTCTGTCTACCTCTACTCGTGCTATACGCGATGTTCTATTGTCGTAAAGTGAAAAAAAGAAAAACTCTAAAATGAATGTAATTTATAATGTGCTTGATTAATGCTAAAATGGAACATATTTCTACGCAGATTCATGTTCACTTGAAAAATGTTGATTTATCGTTGTTTTATAATAATGGTATTCGAAATTTACGCAGATAATTATGATAATAATTAGGCTACAATTAGTTCTTAACCAAGAGCTGAATAACCTAATTTCATCGATAGCTGAACTCGACTTTACTCCAAACTTCCTAATCTTATTTCTTTGGTTCTCTGTTCATAAAAATCAACTATCTAATATTCCACAAAATGTCTACTCTACAATTTTTATTTAAGCAAAACTTCCTTGCTTTAAATCACAAAAATAACGACAAAAAATGCATGCAGAGTTATCCAAGAGTCACAAGGAGATTGGGTAGGTAGTAATTTGGAATAATACCGCTTACATGTATTAATTGTCTGTTTCGTTCAATCTAACCTGCTCAATCATTCTCAATTCTAAAATCAATACATTTAATTCAATAAAATAGTATATCATATACAACCATTAATTCAAACTCATTTAGTGCCATAAACGATCACCAGATAAATGCAAAACTCTTTCTTTGAAAATATAAATGATCCAAAATATAAATATTCTCGATTCTTATGTAGAGTCCAACTAAGTATTAAACATATTTTAACAGAATGTCTTACCTACGTTGATTTCAGATAAAAAAAAAAAACATTCTCCAGAGTACATTTCTACCTCATTCAACAATTCTCAAAACTCATCAAACTCAATAGTTGAATTCATCACCTCTTTAAAATTAATTGACATATTGTGAAATAAAACATTGTATAAGCTTCTTACATGTTTTTCTCTACTCTTTTTTTAGTATACATTTATTTACTGTAAATACCTTTTTTTGTTATAAATCCCAATGGAATTTTACTGTCAAGGGTTATAAAAAAATAAAAAATAAAAAAATATATGACTAAATTACGGAAAATCATGCGTTTTCCCGTACGTAGAACGCATTCGATTTTAATGCGTTGTTTATGCGATCAGATATTTTTTCGAAACACCAGTTTAATGATAGGTCCATAATTAAATCTCATGAACAATTATTGGGCAATACTAATTTTTCGTGCAATTATTTAATATTGCTTTTAAAATTATTTAATTATAAATACACGACATAAAAATGATTTTTTTTAGTACCAGGAACTTTTCTGGAAGTATCAATAATACATAAGACAATATATCAATTAAATTAAATTAAATTAATGCAATTCAATTCATACGGAATATGTGAACGATTTACAACACAATTCGATGTAATATAATTTTATTTTTACCTTTATTGAAAAAGTTTTATTGAGATAATCGAAAAATTATCGTTTAAAATCCATGTTCAGTTTTCATATTTTTTTTTTACGATCGCTCATAAGATTATTACAGTTACATCATTATTTTTGGACGACGAACGCCTATATTTTATACGATCGTTGTCCGACGATGGCTGCGGTAAATCGCACAACATTGTTTAATGCACATTGTCACATCATTAAAAACGACGTTGTAGACGTAGGTTAGGCCTGTCGTTGGCGACAAGTATATTTCTCGCAGGGGAAAATAGCGTTTTTTCGGTACATCCAATTAAAACCTTATACAATAAAATGAATAGACGGTGAAGTTTGGTAAAAATATTTATTCGCGGACCATAAAGCGTCTACATATAGTCGTGTATTTCATATAAAGCATATAAAGCATATAAAGCATTTCACGATTGTCGCGTATTACCACCCATATATACATCTATTATAGCATAGACTAAATATTTTGGAAATACGGTTTTTTCCTCCATAAGTAAGTACATAGAGAAATGTCCATTTGATGCCACTGTTTTCAACAATCTTTTTCTACTGTTCAAGTGTAAAATAAATATATTTTAATTATTCTTAGAAGTTAATGAAAACAAAAGTTATCATTATTTTGAAGTATATATAATATATATATATATATTTAGGTTATCAACAATGTATTAAACATTTATTTTTACGGTTGGGTTATAAAAAAAAACCAAATTATATGATAGTGGTCTTAAGAAATGTAATTTTACTATCTATTATAGTTTTTAGTAACATAATTTTGTTCAATGGAATTCAGTAAATCTTGATTCGTCTTCAAATTGTTATTATTCTTATTTTTTTATTTTATTATTTATATAATATTTTATTATTAAACAATAATTTTGATTCCTGAACGTTGAAAACGGTTTATTTAACCGTTTTTTAAAATCTAGATGACTTCAGTATTTGCATAAAGATGAATATTGTAGGAGAGGGGTAATTATTTTTATATGTTTTACCGTCATATTGCGCTTGATATCTAATATATGTTGCATTTATACCATACAATTAGGCTATGACTTTTTTTTTCAATTTGTAAATGTACTCAAAGACTTAAGTTGTGAATATTAACGGCACACCCTGTACGGTCGACTACAGTTCTGAAACGCGATTTTAAAACGTTGTACAAACACTGTGTTTCGACACATTTGTTCAACAGCAATACAATATAGAAGCATGTGTTGTGATTAAGAAAGGATGGATAATGTATAAATAATATAATATAAAATAATTGCAGAGTTCAATGTATGAAACAATTCACTTTAAAACCAATACTCGTACCAAAAGTTTATTTAATTAAATTTTATAAATATATATATATATTACTTTATATAACTTACTGGCTATGAAAGCGCTCTTTTCCTCCGGACATTGGTTATATTTTTACACCCGTACACGACCTCGTCTTTATTCTGTCTGCGGCCGATCAAGCTTTTAATCCGTACGCATTCGTAGTTTACCAAACAACTCATATATATTTACCTACGTGAACGTTTCTGTTAATGGATATGATTTTATTCGATGGCTAACGTTTGAACGATTTCATACCTTTTGTTACAGCCATAAGTATACCAGTGTTTACGGATGTTTATTTTTATTGGTTCTGATTTTTTTTTACGTAATCGTCTCGTGATACGATTAGATATTGAAATTGTATTACCTAAAAAATAAATAAACAAATAGTTTAGATTTAAAAATAAATATATAAATAAATAAATAAAATCTTAGCCTGGAGTATTATTATATTTAAAAAGTACACTCTATTTCGAATTAAAAATGTATCATCAGGTTTATTTAATCGCAATTTTATTTACTGTATATACCTGATGATGAATTTTTAATTCGATACTCATCGAACTTTACAAATGTAGTAATAATAATCCAGGCCAAGGTTTCATTTATTTATATATTAATTTACGAGTAACAATTTAATAATTTTTAATTTTTTATTATTTTATTAATTATAATTTATTATTAAATCCTATATTAGACTATTTTCTCATATTATTTAAATGTACTTAAACCTAAAGAATTACAGATCAGTACAACTTACACAACATTGTATATTGTACAATTTGTATAATTGTTTAAATTTGTAATAGCATGTGACATTATTTTAATTAAATATCACTGTGCATTTGTAAAAGACTAATATTATAAACAATTTATTATATACATTTTTTCTTTTTGGAAGGTTTGATAAAAACACACAAAATTATGTACAACCTCAAAATCAAACTAATAGCTGAAACTATCATAATAAAATCAAAGTATCTCATAATTTTCAAGTTGATAGTTTAAAGTTTAATTTATAGCGAAACTAGACTATAAATCGATATTATAGTCTAAATAAGTTGCGAGCTATTTACTATATAACGAAGTTTTATAGTAATTTTCAGCGCAGAATTCTTTTGAATTGTTGAGAATTTAGAACTATTGAGAATCCTTCTACTTGAATCAGAAAAGATAAAGAAAAACAATTAGAGCTGTCGAAAATACGATTCGTGGAAATTGTTCAATACTGAAATACATCAGAAGGAACAAGGGTTCAACTTGAGTCAACGAGTACTACATATAAATTAAATGTAAAATATCAAATGAATTAACATTTTTATTACGACGAATAAAATTGTATTATTACTTAATTAATAAAAGATAATTTTTCTTTCTACAATTATTTAATAGAAAAATTAGATTTAATATGAAGCAAGAAAAACAAGGAAAATCTGATATAGATGATTCTATTCTAACTACAGCTGTAGGTATACATAGATAATTTAATGGTATAATTTATTTTTGTTAAAATATTAAATAATTGTATACTACTTTGTTTTTTCCGTTATCAAAGAAGGAACTCATACGTCCAACATCATTGATGAGGCAATGGATAAAAGATATTAATTAATGGTAATTTTTAGATTGTTATTATATTATTATATTATTATTATTATGAGTAAAAACGCTAGCAAAATCTTTTATGGGATCATGAAAAGTCAGCAATGAAAGTTTTATTTAAATAATTTTTTACTGGCGTAGATTAGCCCAAAAATTAAAAAATGGCGACTCTAATACATATTTATGGACTATTTTCAAAAGTTTCAAAATCAATATTTTTTTACATTTTTTTTTTAAATTTTCACATCTATACTTCAAGGAGTCAAATTCCAC